TAGTCGTGCTACTACTGTAACCATTTTGTTTCACATAAAATGAACCGATCAGCTACATAATGCTCTTTCCTGATTAGAGCAAGCTAACTGAAGCTACCAACAGCGCCTAATCATACAATAAAAAAACATACACTCAAACCAGGCTTCAAAAATAAATGAACAAGAATTATTTTTCAACGATTGACTGTGGACCACAAGAGCATCTGAGGCGAAGCCGAAGATGACTCTTGTATCTATATAACAGGGAAATTCTGACACCATAATACGGAAAATGGAACCTATTTACAGTACAGTGAACATAATTATTCGAACTTTGTACTACCATTCTTTATCTACTAGATAATAATAATAATTATTATTATCATAAAGAGTACGAAGTATGCCGCTCGGCTATGTTTTAGTAGCGATCATAGAAATAAGTACTTGTTGCACACCTCGATCAGGATAGCATAAAGGACGTTTTTTTTATGAATGCGATTTTGTTATGATACTTATTAAAGGTATTGAACAGAGGTACTCTTTTCTTATTTGCACTTGATTATTTTGGCAGATGTCTGGTGCTGCAAGTATTTAACAGTAATGTGACTACTAGCATGAGTTACATGTACATGAATATCTCCTGTGTTGTACATCGCCGCGTATACATGTAGTATGCCTGTGTATTGTATGTATTGTATGCATTGTGTATAAGTGTATTGTACGCATTGCCTTCTTTAATCGTAGTGCATATTAATATGAATATAGATATGAATATTACCCTTCATAAGCACGACGCTTTAACCCAGACTTTTTCACTGAGATTAATTTTCATGTTATCAAGATTCTATAAAAAAATCAGGCGCCTCACTCAAGCTGATAAGTCACGTACAGAGACGGCCGTACCGGCACGGTACAATACATAGTCGCTGCTCCCACTTGAACGGTGCCGGAATCGTCTTTGTAGTTGTGATGAGATATACGAGCACATTGGCTTTTTGATCGAACGTTTTTTCTCGAAAACAAAAACCATGTGAGCCAGTTCTAAACCACGACTGATCTGAAGGTGCTGCCAGTTTTTCTCGAAATTTTCTAATTAGCGAGATCTGAAAACTATAGGGAGGCCGGAGGTAGTATAGATCTTTTTCTTAATATGTAAATTTGATTTAGGATCTGCGCAGTCAGTGCGTGCACGTGTACTGTAATTTTTTAAGATTATTAGGAATGTTTTCATGTGCATTCACGTTTTTAATAATATATTCTAAACCAGATGTTAAAAGTGGCAGACGATGCCGAGAAAAACAAAGCTGGTCATACAATTTTTGCTCTGACCTGCGCATAACGCTTGATCACATCCTCCCAGCGTTCGCTGTTTTTTTACTACAGTATACCAGCCGTCGCGTGCGGTTGCAAAAATTCATATTTCAACTTTTTCAAATATTCCAACACCGCCAAAAGTTGTTTTTTCGTTTTGACCAAGAAAATTACTTTTCTATTTTAAACCTTTTAACAGAAAATTCTCCTCTTTATTTGGCCAAACAAATCCCCCCCCCCCCGTCTTTTCGACCGCTCAAAATCCCTTCCTTTAGTTTTCCCTCCCTCTTTTTGACCAAAGAAAATCCCTCCCTTTAATTTTCCCTCCCTCTTTTCGACCCTGGCCAAATAGATTCTGGCCGTGTATTTGCCGGAAATTAATGGAAGTTTGCGCTGGTGCGCTAACTTTGTTTAACGCGATGAGAGAAACGCCGGCCAGCCTGATTTCTCGTTAAAGCAGGACATTGATGGACAATTGCTGGACTTCGCACACACGTGATGACTGCCTCCTCTCTATCTCCGTGGAGAGCGGAATCGTCCTGTTTACCAGCGGAGTGCCTGCCTGCCCTTTGTCATCGCAGTTGCTCTTGCGGTTACCTCCCCCTCCTCATTCCCCCTCCGTCCCTTTCGTCGGCAGCGGGAGTTAACCTAGTTACTTCGATAGCATTGCGCGAGAGATTGTTCATGTGCGTTGGGTGATGGCTATCATTTCATTTGGTTTTGCACGCGTGTCGGATCGAATATATTTTGCAACCGTTAACGTTGAATGTGACCTTTCAACTGCTGGAAGTTATTTTCAACATTTGTTTGACGTACAACATTTGTTTGACGGAATTCCACCGCCATTTAACATCAACATGTCGGAGAGACGAGGTAGAAGAACCAACGCCAACGCTCTCCAACCACCGGCAAAGCGACCAGCAAGGGGACGTCCACGGGCGCGGATGATTCCCAACTCGGGCGAATATCCTGCTAACAGCAACGCCACGGTAAGCACGGGAAGCACAGTCAGCATCGATGCCCAGGTTACCGCGGCCAGACAGCATTTGGAATCACTCTTGGCACAGATAAACCCGGACGTACAGCTTTTACCGGGTCCTTCCACGCCTCCAACGGCCGTCCAGTCCCAGCCAACGGAAACGGGCATGCTTATTCAGTTGATGCTCTCCCAGCAGAATCACCTCACGCAGCTGACACAGAAGGTCAACGATCTATCACCGCCGACGTCCGCGGACACAAGCGCAGCAGCCACAAACAGTAAGAAACCTCCACCATTGCCGGCTGGTTTTCCCCTTGTTAGTGATAAGTGTCTGGAAGAACTGTATGACCTTACGGTCAACGTTGATTTAGACAAGCTGCTGCGGGCGAATAGCATTATGTCACCAATCCAGGGCGAAGCTAAGATCGAGATTAGGGATAGTGATTTTGTACTGTCTGATTCTAAACCGCGAAAAGTCACAATTACATCCTTTACATTGTGGTGTGAAGCGTTCATTGTTTTTCGTCGTGTACGTAGTTATTATCATCCTGAGCTTAGGGATCCGTTAGATTCATACCAGGCTACCATCACTGACCTGGCGGGCACGTACACGGCCGCAGTGTGGCTGGAATACGATAAGACCTTTCGTGCTGGCCGCACGCGCGACAAAAACCACGACGATTGGTACCGGCTCGACCGCAACCTACTGGACCGCTGCGTCGCTCGACTCCCAAATCGCGCACACCTCCAGTTATGCCGCGAGTGCGTGATCGCGGACCACACCGATCAGGACTGCCACAAGAAGCTTCAATTCTTAGCACATGGTCGACAGGACACCAAGGCGGATCGGCCCTTTCGACACATCCCGCCAGACCTGTGCAGGAACTGGAATAACGGGAGATGCACCAGAGGAGCGAACTGCCCCTACAGCCACAAGTGCGCAACATGCCGCTCCACCGACCACACCGCCACCGAACACGACGCAGCTCAGCATAAGCATGGCAACGGTCACAATGCTAAACCCGGAAGTGACCACACCGGTCTCCGTCGAGAGACTCGCTGAGTTATTGGTACACAAGAATGATCGCGAAACTGTTTGTTTCGTATTGCAGGGTTTTAGGTTTGGTTTCGCGGTCGGCTACGTCGGCCCGAAGTTTCGCCGTTTCACTAGCAATGCTCGCTCAGCATTAGACGATCCGCAGGTTATAGCTTCAATGATCGCCAAAGAAGTGCAGGCAAACCACGCGAGAGGCCCGTTTCTTACGGAGCCCTTTCTACATTTCGTCACCAACCCACTGGGACTGCGCCCGAAGCGGCCTTCAGGACACCGCGTCATTATGGATCTGTCGCAACCGTTTGGATGCAGTGTCAACGACTACATCCAAAAAGATAAGTACTCGTTAAAATATGTAGGTGTGGACGATGCGGTGGAACTGGTAATGCGGCAGGAAAGAGGCTCACTTATGGCAAAAATCGACGTTGAAAGTGCCTTCAGAATTTTACCGGTTAGGCAAGAGGACTGGCATTTGCTAGGGTATCAATGGGAGGGGAAGTTTTACTACGATATAGTCATTTCATTCGGTCTTCGGTCGGGTCCATACCTTTTCGATAAATTCGCTGGTGTACTTGAGTGGATTTTTAGGACATGTACAGGCAGTGATGCGTTCTTACATTTTCTCGATGATTTTTTCATGTGTGGTAAACCGGCAAACACAGCGTGCGAACGGATGGTAAAGCAAGTGCAAGCAGTCTGTGCGTATTTAGGTGTGCCGATTAACGAAAAAAAGTTAGTGGGACCGGCTACGGTGGTTGAGTTTCTTGGCGTTGTCATCGACAGTAACAACTTTACATTGTCAGTATCGCATGACAGGCTGCAAGAGTTGACAGCGCTCCTCAATAACTTTGCAGCTTGTAAGCAGTGCACAAAGCGGGAACTTTTGAGTCTAATTGGAAAGCTGTCGTTCGTTACAAAGTGTATCCCAGCAAGCCGGATATTCTTGAGGCGCATGATTGAACTAAGTTGCAAAGTTGATCGGCTGCACCATAAGATCACGTTAACAGACGGGTTTCGACGTGACATTGCATGGTGGAGAGAATTTCTGCCCGTATGGAACGGGACCGCTGGATTTGTACAACCGCAGTGGGAGCCGGCAAGTACACTGCATTTGTATACCGATGCAGCGGGTTCGATTGGTTATGGGGGAGTTTTGGGAAATGAGTGGTTTCAAGGACTTTGGTCAGCTTGGGTTATTGAATTAAATCCCTCGATTACATTCCTAGAGATGTATCCGATATATATTGCTTGTGCCATATGGGGTCATCAGTTGCACGGTAAACGAATATTAATTCACAGTGACAATAGCGGCACGGTGCAAGCATGGTCAGCAAGTAAATGTCGAAACCCGGCCGTAATGGAAATTTTGCGCAGAATTCATTTTATTACAGCACAATGCAATTTTGTTATCAAGATCACGCACATCGCCGGCGTTAATAATAACATTGCTGATGCGTTGTCCCGGTTTCAGACACAACGTTTTCGGCAGCTGCAACCGACAGCCAACGGAATTGGCATAGCACCACCAGATCTGCTCACCCGATTACGGCCGTTTCTAACGGGGGAAGAACCACCGATACCTCTGTCAGCGCCGGTGACCTCTTTGCAGCCGGAGTGGCACCTACTACCCGAAGAGCTTACGCTAATGGAGAGCGCAGTTTCGAGCAGTTCTGCAGAATGACTAAGAAAGATCCATGGCCAGCCACCCCGCAGACAGTTGAAGAATACGTAGCGCACCTGTTCAACCGGAAGTGTTCACCATCAACAATCACAGTGTACCTGTCAGCTGTAGCAAGGCGTCACCTGTCGCAGCAGCTGACCGACCCAACTACCAATCCTAGGCTGAAGCAGATTGTGGAGGGTGCCCGTCGCTTAAGCAGCAGAAAACCTGATCAACGTTTGCCAATAACACCTGACCTCCTGCGACGCTTGTCCTCCCGGCTGCATTTGGCTGCCCCTACTTTCTACGATCAACACATGGTTTGGGCCGCTTTCACGATGGCTCAGCATTTCCTCCTCCGTGCTTCGGAACTGACATCACCATCGCCAACCACATTCGAAGCATCCGCTACACTCCTCCTGCAGGATGTGCGTTGGGACACCATCACGTTGCATCTGACCATCAAGCGGTCCAAAACGGATCAGCACCAAAACGGGATCACACTGTCTCTGACGTCCGTCGCCGCCCCGGCAGTACACAGCGCCTGCGTCACTTACGGGCAACAGCGCCAGCAGCAGCAGCCGGCTGATTTACCGTTCTTAATTTTCGGCAGCGGCCGTTATTTGACCCGCACAGACCTGTCCCAAGCGCTTAAGAGAACTCTCCCGGAAGGAGAGGACTCTCGGCGCTACTCATCGCACAGTTTCCGCATCGGCGGAGCTACAGCAGCCGCCACCGGCGGCTGTTCGCCAGAAGCCATACGCAAACTTGGACGATGGAAATCATCCGCGTTCAAGCGTTTCATACGCCCCCAATGTCTGCGCGTACCATAATGTTTGGGGCACCTCCTCACTCGCGCAGCTCTCTCGCCATGGTACGCACAGAACCGCACCGGAAGGTGCACTCATACATCCTGGCCACGAATCAGGATCCAATCCATCTCCCTGGCCATGTATCAGGGCATCACCTGGCCACGAATCAGGTGCCGCAAAACCTCCCTGGCCACGTACCAGGGAGCAGCTATTCACCTGGCCACGCATCAGGTGTCCCACTGTACGCATACGCTCCTTCCGGTGGTCGAGCATGTTCTGACGTTTTCCACGAGACTTCGCGGCCGAGCTGAGGCTGGCCACATGCCCCAACACAATCGCCGGCGTTTCCTTATTATGTCGTTAATGGAAGTTTGCGCTGGTGCGCTAACTTTGTTTAACGCGATGAGAGAAACGCCGGCCAGCCTGATTTCTCGTTAAAGCAGGACATTGATGGACAATTGCTGGACTTCGCACACACGTGATGACTGCCTCCTCTCTATCTCCGTGGAGAGCGGAATCGTCCTGTTTACCAGCGGAGTGCCTGCCTGCCCTTTGTCATCGCAGTTGCTCTTGCGGTTACCTCCCCCTCCTCATTCCCCCTCCGTCCCTTTCGTCGGCAGCGGGAGTTAACCTAGTTACTTCGATAGCATTGCGCGAGAGATTGTTCATGTGCGTTGGGTGATGGCTATCATTTCATTTGGTTTTGCACGCGTGTCGGATCGAATATATTTTGCAACCGTTAACGTTGAATGTGACCTTTCAACTGCTGGAAGTTACCCGCCTTCCCACCCTTCTTTAGCATCATGATGTATTGTTTAACTTACGCATTGGTACTTTGTAAAATATTGAATAAAGGTCAGTTCTCACACGCGCAGCTCTCTCGCCATGGTACGCACAGAACCGCACCGGAAGGTGCACTCATACATCCTGGCCACGAATCAGGATCCAATCCATCTCCCTGGCCATGTATCAGGGCATCACCTGGCCACGAATCAGGTGCCGCAAAACCTCCCTGGCCACGTACCAGGGAGCAGCTATTCACCTGGCCACGCATCAGGTGTCCCACTGTACGCATACGCTCCTTCCGGTGGTCGAGCATGTTCTGACGTTTTCCACGAGACTTCGCGGCCGAGTTGAGGCTGGCCACATGCCCCAACACAATCGCCGGCGTTTCCTTATTATGTCGTTAATAATCAGATAGTAACAGCTTCGGCATGCGGTAGAACTTTGGACTTTGCACGGAAATTTTTCACCAGTAATTTTTTACGGCGTTTAAATTTCGTTGTAGGATGCAACAAGGATGTCAAATTATCTCTTGTTTCACATTCAAGTTGTTACAAAGTTAATAACATGTACGCTGTATAACGGACACCGGTACTAGTACAACAACTGTACATTGTGTACAGCATAATTATAATGTGAGACAAAGAAGCTTCGTTAACGAACTCGTTGATAACGCTTCTCCGTTCCAACCCGGTGATGACAATTTAAACGCACTGGATCATGAATGTATTCTTGTACATACTGTTCATTAATGCGATCAATTTTATGTACCGGCTGTATTTTATTTTATGTTATTTCATTTTATTTTATTTATTTTTACTGCATTTTATGAATTTTTACTTTTTGTGTACTCTGCTTACTGAGGCGTTAATAAATTTTTGAACCCAGGACGGAATAGCCCACTTTCCGCATTTTTCCCATGCTGAGCACGCGGTGCTTCCGTGATACATATGATACATGTACGATAAGTTTGATTGCTGGATTGAACTGGCTTCAGCTTTGATAGTGTGCTAACTGTGCTTGCAAACTGAGATAAATATCAAAGTAAATTGTATTAGCTTATAAAACATGCGCCGTTGCGGCGCGATATACAACAAATCAACCAAGCCGAAATTTAATCGAGGGTTGAATGCGAGTTTGACCATTTTTTCACAAAATGTCGCCTTTTGAATTAACGTCCTTGCTTGTATTGTCTTTCGCAGTGAGCAGTGCAAAAGGTAAGTTCATATAATACCTTCAATATTCGATAAATGTGATGAATTAAAGTTAGATGAGACGCATTCTCTTGATGGCTTGTTTTAAGGGATTTGGCCTGGTACATTTGCGGGAGCAGCTTCCGGTTTGAAAGTTATGTGTGAATCAAAACCCCAAGAACTAAGAAGTTTAAATGCGTTCAGGTGTACCAAATATCTAATTTTAAACCGACCTACTCCAAATTTTGCTTGCCAAATTTTGCAAGGAAATGCACATTAGTACAAAGATCTTTTTTACACCGAACCAGAGTTTCCACAATTTTAGAATTTGAAAAACAAATGGTGCAACATGATCTGGTTCGATGTAAAAACTATCTTTATGTGTATGTGCGTTTACCTGCAAAATTTGAAGATTGGTTTATGATGAGACTTTTGGTACACCTCAATGCATTTTAACTTCTTGAAATTTTGATTGCCTTATAGCTTTCCGATCTAATGTTGCGTGCGCAGACTGATTTCTTGTACACATATACAAATCCTTTGGCTACAGGATGTCATAGAGCAGTTCAAAAACGTGTCTGGGAGATAACGACAGCGAAAGTTTCCGTGGATGTACTCGATTCTGATGCTATGTACCGGACCAAATCCCTTATGCGGTCGTATTGGGCAGCAAGGAATCGTACTGTAGTTGCTAGATGAACTTGCGCCAGAGTTTGTGTAGGGGAAATTTGCACATGCTGCTCCATTTTCTTGCGTAACTTGCACGATGCTCGGCAAAAGGCTGTCGGCGGACGGAGTTGCGCGAGTTCACGTAGCGGCTACAGTCTGTCGACGATGCACCAGTAGAGTGGTTGGCAGTTCGGAATGCCAAAGCGGTATCACGTCAGTTCTCTGACCGTTTTGCTGCCAGACAATTTTCTAACCGACATATTGCTGAAAAAATTTTGTTGACCGGCAGCTGGCGTATCGGTCTGGTTTCCAGGTTTCTAAACTTTTTGTTTGTTTTTCCTTGAGTTTCTTGGTGGGCCTTGGTTTCCTAGCTAACCTTAGGTTTTTATGCTCTGATGTTGTTCTCTTGGGCGTGTCAGTATTAGTTCTTATATTGGTTGCTGCCATATGATTTCTTATGGTTGCTTTTGATTTCATATGTTTCTTATGGTATTCCTATGTTTTCGTTTTCTCTTTTGTTTATCTTGTGAATGATTATGTATGGCAGGGATACTTAAGTTTTCTTATGTTTTATTAAGTCAGCCGCAGCAGCAACTGTGGTTCACTAATTTGTCGATCATCCAGTTGTCGGTTCAACAAATTGTCGGGTAAAAAATTCGTCCTGCAGCAAAAGTCGTCAGCATTTTGTACAGTGCACGACAAAAAGAAGTTGATGAGGCGCGACCGCACACTGGCCGGTCGATTTCAACTTCTTTTTGTCGTCCATTGTAAGTCAGCAGGATAGTGGTCATCGAATTGCCGGTGTGCGTTGGAAAGCAATTTAATCCAGTGTGCTGCTATGATGTATCCGGTCTGGTTTGCGAGCATAAACCAACTGGGTGTTTGCAGGGCGAAGGATAACCGCCGTCTGGTTATCCCAGAACGCTCTGACTTGGGATTCAATCAATAACGCAACGGTCTTCGCCACTCTGAGAGATGCAGACAATTTGCTGCTTGGCAATCAAACAGCAACAACGAATGCTTTCGGAGAACTGACATTATCCTTACCATTGCTGAGCCCCCACACCATAACTTTCGAGATGCCTGGTTTCCTTCCATTCTTTTACGAGATTTTCTTTACGATTCCACGCTGGACGGCAAAGTCACAATGGAACCGTTGTTGTGGATCAGTGAAACCTTGGTCGGAAATGGGACAGCCGACGGTAATCTGAAATATATGAGATTTGGTAACCATGACGATGATATGTCGTATGCCCCTTCGGTAAATATCAATATCCGTTACGGCCTGACAATGTGTCCGGGCCGATTCTCGCGGCAGCCACAACAAATGCCATTGGGTACTGGCGTCAAGGACTACCATCGGGATATTACACGGCGACTGTCAACGCGACAGGATACATGCCAAAATCTTTCCCGGTCGTCGTTTGGAGAGGAGGCGGCTCAAGCATGGTTCATTCATTGATGCCCGACGTGTCTTACGATGACATTCGGATAATTCTCTTTAATGTTAAAGGCTACGATATGGAGTTGGTGGTTGAAGGGCCACTGCAAGGCAGCCAACAGCGGACACGTGTGGAATGTCAGGGAACGAGACTGAGCGCTGATAAGCTGATACACAACGACTATGCAGGAGCAAATGCCGATAGTACCGTCATCAAGAAACAACTGCCCGGCATTTACCGTATCAGCGTGTACGTGTGGTATCACCGCAAGGGAGTCAAAAACTGGCGTTTGGCCCGGTCCCACTCGGTTGTCGAACTGTATCGCGGTAAAATCTGTGGGCAAGATAATATGCCCCCAATCGTTATGGCAACACTTGGATCGTCGCGGAGTTTGACGGACTAAATCTAACGACCATCAATGAAATTACGACAGTGTACCACAACGTTTAACTTTTCTGACCGAAACCAGGATTCTTCTGGTTTCGGTCAGAAACCAGAAGAATCCTGGTTTCGAAGAACCAGAAGAATCCAAACAATACAATTTCGTTGCATTGTTTGATACCAGGCATGGTACAGATCCAGCTTTAGGCATCTGAGCCTGTTCGCAACTGATGCGGGTAATATGGCGTAAATTAAAAAAAAAGGCATTCTTATATGAAATCGGGCATCGGTGAAACTGGTCAATCAAAATGATAATAAATGTTATCAGTACATTGTGTATTTTGCTACCATTTCCACACAAAAAAGGTATTTTCTTTGCGCTTCTTTACCTGCGTGCAGATGAAATACAGAAGACAAATTGTGTAAGTACCGTATTTGATATTATATGATCAAATATTTTTTAGAGTTTAACGTTAACGATAATGACCCGCTGTCCCGTTAACGTTAATCCCGTTAATATTGACCCGTTAACGATAATGTCAAAAATGGAATA